CTGTTGTTGAAATGAGTTATTACCATGCAATTATATAATGAAGATGGTGGACTTCCTAGTGCGCTCGTGAGGTTTGGCCGGTACGTCAAGCTGAGGGCGCGTGGTCGGGGCTCAGGATTGAGTGGAGAATGAGGTAGTGAGCATACCAAGGGTGTAGGGCATGGAGCGACTCGGCAAGCGAAGGCACCACGGCGCGGCGAGCCAAGTGTCGGATATGCAATCGCGTGATACACTGTAGTAGCGGCTTTGATCGCGAGCGCAGCAGCGGGAAGGGGCGTCAATGTCGTGCGAAACACGCGGTTGTTGCGTTCGAGCCATAGACTGTACCAAACGCAAGCGCGCAGGATCGGCCAGAGAGCACAGATGGTCGGCTTGTGGGCTGATAACGGCAGAGCGACGGCATCGTAGAGAAAGCCACCGACCGACGTCGGGAGTTGCAGCTGCAAGATTTCGCGCATCGGGTCAAAAGCGCGTCAGACCGCGCGGATGGATGGACAGCGCACTAGAAGATGGTCGTACGTCGCCTTGTATAACCTGTGCAACCCTTTTGGTAATAGAGCTAGCGATGTCAAATATTCGGCGAAGTGATAAAACTTGGCGTAATAAGCCAGGACAAGGCGATAAACTGCGTTGTGCGTAGCGATGACCATTCCCATAAGAGACTGGTCAGCGTGTTGAAGCGGCTGCTGTGGGAATCTTGGCGTGCGATTGCGAATTTGCCACACTATATGGCTATACTATTATAGTATGGTTCCTGCTGGTTCGTCCTGGCATTGGGTCGCGCCGGCTTCCATCACCACACAAAGTTGTCAACCCATCTGACGAGTGGACACTCTTGTGACGAGCACTTGCAACGCACGTCGGTTTAGATCTAATACAGTATTGATTTTCGCCTATTCTGTGGCCATCGATTGATCAATCAATACCGTATTTGATTTGAGGGCAGCAACCGCGTTGATCCACGCCAGTGGTGAGATTAGTTTGTTGACTGGCACTAAGCATTTCAAAATGACTCGTGCTTGCTCGCCTCCTGGATCGTGTACCTAGTGTGTTCTAGATCCACGTCTTCTGGACCGCTCAGCCTTGCGTGGACGACCTCTTCCACGTCTCGGAATGCCCTGCAGTGGAATGAATACCTACAGTATATTGGTCGCGTGCGCGCACAAGTTCAATGCACTCACCTCGTAGAATGCGCAACTTGGGTCAATGCTGGGCCTGCAAGGATGTCACGATAACGACAGATCGACCTTCTTCGGACGAGCCAGTGTGGTCACTCACGCCATCCATCAATCACTCTCGTCGATCGCAGCGCAGATGGTGCTGCGATAGGACGCGAAGGCGTCAATGTCCCATATTGTCCATCATTGATGATTGTATCTTTTGCACACGTGGGCGTTGAGTCAAACTTGCTTACAAATATGACAAATCCCAACGGGTTCTGAGTCATTTCGGTCATGTCCTCTACGGCACGACCACGCGACCTCACACCAGCGATCTCGGTCAGAAGCGGCACATCGACAGACGACAACGCATGCGTCCTTGACACCTTGACACGATGGGTCACGCATGTCGCCAGCGTTATCTCTGCTTTGGAAACAACGCCAGTGCAACCCGTCATATCCACAGTAGTATTGCACTGGTAGTTGAATGAGCACAAGGAGGAATCGTAGAGGGGCACATGCGGCGCAATCATCCATGACGCAATATGACGCCATGTGACGAATGCATCCAGGTCATGCGAGCGTTGCATCTCGTTCCTATAGGGAGCTTCTTCGTGCGAGATCGCTTCGCATTCGATACGCTTGCTGCTGCCTGTGCAACTCGAAACCCAAACGCACTCGTCTGCTTCATGCACGCTAAGCACATGCCCATTCTGTCATCATCGTCAGCATCAGTGCAATGAGTTCTTAGTTGGCTTCTACTATTACATAATAGGCAGGTAGAAGGACTGACCGGCGCAACCTGATCCGAGTCCGGATCTTCCCCGCCGATCTTCCGCTCGTGTGTCGCGACCGCCTGGTGGCATGTCCCACGTCGGCGCCGTCGTCGCGTGTGCTCGTGGTTGCCACTCATTTCGCAATTTCTGACGTATTGCGATGATGTACTTTTGCCCGCCGCCCGCGGCCGCGGTCAAGGTCGAGGCCGAGAAGCCGCGCGTCCAAGGCGCATGGTCCGAGCTCGAGCACAAGCGATTCCTTATCGGTCTTGATCTCCACCCCAAGGGCCCATGGAAAGCGATCGCGTCGTTTGTCGGCACCCGCACCGCGCGCCAAACCCAAACGCACGCGCAAAAGTACCGCGAGAAGCTCTTCCGCAAGATGCGCCTCGCGGCCTCGTCGAACGAGGCGGCGACGCCGTACGGGATCATGGCGCTCGTCCAGCACGAGATTGGCTCGTTGGCGATCGAGCCGCTGCCGTTTTGCAACGACGCCAAGGATGAAGTGACATGCGTCAAGACGGAAGAGAGCGTCGACGACGGCGCGTTGCCGTCGCTCGACGAGTGCGTCGCCTTTTTCTACTACACGCTTGCATGACACGCACCATTGCGATGCACGACAACACAATCTGTCTAGCGTGCAATCCTCTTGGTGTGGTGTAGACACGTTTTGTAAATATGTAATCAAAGGTTGGCTCCTAATTGAGCCGAGGTATATTTGCTGTCGTATCAAGGGCAGCTATGACGTCGTCGACATCAAATCAACACACGAGGCAGGTAGGTGGTCCAGTGCGTGCGATCTCGACACGGCGCCATTTTTTATTTTAGAAAATAGACTTTCACGTCGTGTCCAAGCTGGTTATATCGTTTGAGAAAGTCAAGGAAGGGACAAGGCAAACGTCTCGAACTAGTAGCCGAGGGCTCGCGCGGACGCACGAGGTCGCGATCGGAGCTCTATGATGGTCCACTTTCATGGCCGAAAGCATAATATATTGAACACCGATATCCTCTTTCCTCTAACAAGACTGAGCTGCAATGTACTTAAGGGCAACAGCCGTGTTGGTGTCCGCCGTGCCAATGGTGGGCGAGGCGGGATAGCTCATGACCGATACAACAAATTCATCGATGGCTCGAGCTCTCTCGCTCTGCGTCTGGATCTTGTAACGTGTGCGCTTCCATATCGTGGGTTGGGAGCCCTCTTTCTACTTCTTGGAAACGGCCCTGCGCTATCACCACGTTCAACTCTACCGAGAGCTGGCGCCGATCCCCACTGGCTCAAACCTTGTAAGCTTGTCGAACGACACAAGGACGGAGTTGTGTGAAGCTGTCTTGGTACTTCACCGCCTTTTGCGTTCGAAAGATCCGCACTTCTTCTTTCGGAAAGAAGAAAGAGAACCACGCTTGACGTGATCATGATAGTATGGCTCCTCGACATAGCATCTGCTGGGGCCCACGGACTGAGTACCCAGAAGAGATGACTGGACGGATGGTTGAAGTAATGACGCTCTGTCGCCCTCGCGGGGCGATTAGCGTCGTAGGTACATCATCGAGGACAAGAACGACCCAAGCGATAAAATTACCGAGAAATTAGTGAGATTATTGGATTTGTAATAATGCGTACGTCCTGGACACACCGTTCGATGATTGATTGCAAAATCTTGACCGTCAGTCCGAGACCATGCGCGGCCGCAGCCGCTCGACGGTGATTTGATCGGCTTATTCCTCATCAACGACGTTTGATAGGCGTATTTGTATGCGCACTACTGTAGCATCAGGGAATGGTGCTTATGTGGTGCAGTGCAACGTCGCGCCGTACCAGATGGGTTTATGGCGCCATAAACATTGCGGAATTTGTGTGATATGTGGCCGACCGCGGCGCATTTTTATGTACACAACCCGTTTACAGTAGCTCCCTTGTACTGCAACGAAGTCGTCGTATACCAGACGCTCTATTACGAGCAGCATCGTGCGAGTTGTGCGTGAGTCGCACGCCCCCTCGAACTCGGTCTGTTGACTCGACGATGCCATATCTCTGCCCGTTCGTGTCGGGCCAGTCGAGTGTCCGTAAACATTTGCTGCCCATTTCACTCGGAGAGTGTATACGGCGGCAAGCAGCCCAGTTGCTGGTCCTGGTGGTCACACCCATCGGCATGGTCAGGAAAGGGGTGTTGCGACATTTTCAGATTCGCCTTGCGACAAAAGAGCAATTAAATACGGCCAGAACGCGCTTCGAATCTGTTGCCTTCTTTGTTGCTCCAACTCCTGCTGACCAAATGGCTGCTTTCAGATCATGTCACGATCCTTCTGGGACCTTGTATGCCACCAACTGGAAGTTCGATGCAAAATTCAAATTTTTTGGAGCCCACGTCATTACCACTTTTGACATTGAAGAAGCCAATCGACCGAGATATGATGTACTTCCTCCCGCTCAAGGCTCTACCACCGCGCAAGCCCAGAACGTCCAAGCTGTCGGCAACCACGGTTACGGGCGCGTGGTCGCCGGCCGAGCACAAGCGCTTCCTCGTTGCGTTGGAGAAGTTCCCGAACGGCCCGTGGAAGACTATTGCGGCGCATGTCGGCACGCGCACCCCGCGCCAGGCGCAGACGCATGCCCAAAAGTACCGCGAGAAGCTCGTGCGCAAGCTGCGGTGCCCGACCAACAACGGCAACGGCTGCATGATGCGCCTCGTCAAGGACGAGATGGCAAGTCTGCCAGATGACGACCACATGGAATTGGAGACGTCCACGCCCCTGAAGCTGGAAGCGAGCAGCGCCGACTTGCGGCCGTTGGTCTGCAGCACGGACGACACGGCCTTGCTCTCGTTTGACGACTGCCTCGATTTTTTCATCCGCGAAATGGACGCATGACACGCTTCGATGCTGCCAATGCGAGGTTTGGATGTCATATTTTCTATTTACGTTAAGCGAAAACAATAGTGTCAAGCAATATTTACGCACTTTTGTTGGTGACATTAAACGATTTGGGGCTGCCACGCACACGACGAGAAGCGAGACTTGCAAATACTGGACGGCTTCTCTGGCCATCGGCGGCAAGTCATTACTTTTCCTAACGTTAGGGGAGTCTACGGAGATGCAATTTCCGGTACGTCCATTAGTATGAGGCGATATTAGAGTCGTATATAGTTTATTGGTAGCAATCTCAATATAGCTCGTGGCGTCGTCGAACTAGGCGGGCGCGATGGCCCAGCGCAGTATCTGTAGGCTCGTCAAAACGCGAGATTGGGAGATTGTTGGCTTGGTGGACATGGAACCGCTGCCGGTTCGCGCCAATACTGTCGACGACCATGTGACGCGTTATCAAGACGGAAGGTTGACGAGAAGGCATCGGCGCCGCTGAACGCCTCTTTCTACCGACACCAGAACGGCTTCGTCTCGCTCGGGTGCAATGGAACAAGGAACGTGCCCACGAGCATCCTTCGTGGAAAAGAGGAAGAAGCGTACCGGTAGGCTTGATGCCTCGACTGCTCGGGATTGACGTGATCATGTAATGGCTGCTGGATGCGATAACACCTGTTTGGGCCCGATCTGGGCGACGGGTTCGGCGGACTGATGTACCCAAGGGGTGACAGAATGGAAGGTTGAAGTACAGTAATCGAGCGCCATCGACTCTGCCGCTTATTTTCCCCAGGCCTTGAAGGCACAGCGCGAGTCGAATACATTAGCTGGAAAGTGTAAGATGGTGGAATGACGAAGTCAACGAATCAAGTGACGAGATCTACGTAATCCCATCTCATTCGGGCCCCTTGGCCTTGGTGCCCTCGATGCCGACTTGCAGTGTTTCGAAGTCGTGCATATCTGCTAGGAACGGATAGATGCAGTGCAAGATCAATTAAACTACGTTAACACATGTCGAATGTCGCACCAGGCAGGTTGATGGCAGCTTTGATAGGTCCGTCAACAAGGCGCTTGCCTCACCACGTCATCTGATATCTCGCTAACTCATCGCGCTCATTTGCAGTACTCGAGCGACTCAATAGCACAATGAAGCCTACAGAGCGACTCGATCCTGTGCTTGAATGGTGTTGCGCACCGCTTTTGTTCAACACCACGAAGGACGGTCGTCTCGTTTGCGACGGACTTTGAGTGCTCTTGTTGAAGAAGCCACGAGTATCCTATCTCTCTTCGGTCTCCAGCAGCACGAGCAGTGTGAGTGAGTCATACGCTCATCTACAATCCGGTTTGTCGACTCGACCGCTGATCAATCTGGTGCCTTTTGAATTCGAGTACACACTGCAAAGCAGCACTGTACTAGTGCAATGTATGCTGCGACTCGTGCTGGTCATGTTGACCTAACCCATGTCTAACCCATCGACATGTTGTAGTTTTCATGCACAGGGTCATTGCAACACTTTGAGATTCTTTCTATGAAAGACTATCTTTTGAAACAGGTCAAACATGCAGTTTGAATCTTGCAACACCTATTCCACCAGAGCCCTACCCCAGCCCTACCCGGCTCTCTCCACGCGTGGCTGCGACGATGGTGATCGAACATGTCCCAGCTATGGTTAGATTGTTTTTGCTTTATGCGAGCGGCAGATTAGTAGCCCACAGACCACATGTCTTTTTGCAAAATCTACAATAGGGTCAACCCCGTTCTTCATTTCCACTTTTGGCTTCTCATTGCCAAGCCACACACAACATGATGTACTTTTTCCCGCCCAGTGCGGCGCCGGCGCGCAAGCGTAACGTCACCAAGCCCACCGTCACGGGCGCGTGGTCGCCGGCCGAGCACAAGCGCTTCCTCGTTGCCTTGGACAAGTACCCAAGTGGCCCGTGGAAGGCCATCGCGGCGCACGTCGGCACGCGCACCCCGCGCCAGGCGCAGACGCATGCGCAAAAGTACCGCGAGAAGCTCGTGCGCAAGCTGCAGTGCCCGACCAACACGGGCGGCATGATGCGGCTCGTCAAGGATGAGATGGCAAGCCTTCCAGACGAGTCCATTGACGCGTTCACGCCCCTCAAGCTCGAAGCGAGCGCCAACCTCGGCCCGTTGACAAGCCCCACTCCGGTGGAAGCCACCTCACTTTCGTTTGACGACTGCCTCGACTTTTTCATCCGCGAGATGGACGCATGACACGCTCCGATGACGACAATATGTTATCTGAATGTCACCGAGTCGCGTACATTATTTACGAGGGAACAATAGTGTCAATATTGACGTTTCTAAAGGAGATTGCTAGTCTCAACGAATGCAAAGTCTTTGTGTAATTATGAAAGATAACGCAAAACACGCTCATATATATATAGACGTTTCAAACGACTACGTTGGGCTATTGATTGAGATGAGAACACAGAGACAAAACGTGAGAAGTTGAAGTGACGAGCGTAGGTCGAATTTTGTAGTGAATGCCACCCAAAGAGTGGTGCAACGCCACCATTTCGTACTCTTTTGTACTCTAACAAAGTCGTGTCCCGCGCGGAAAGCGAAGGTCATCAATCGCACAAGAGCACCACAAGGAACACAAGGAAGAAACAAGATGAAAACGGCATATGCCGGTAACTCGTGCCCACTGGAAATTATTCCTTTCAACAACAAAAGCACGCACAACTACTAACCAGCGATACCTTTGGTCGGGTGGTCGTCACGACCACCGACTCCACCCTGTAGTGTATATTCGTATGG